GTTGACTGTAGAGGATCCTCAGACAGTCAGGTGATTAGACTATGGGCACACCAAACAACTGACCATTATCATTTTGAGTAAGACCTGAAGGTTATTAACATTGGGTTGACTATAGAGGATCCTCAGACAGTCAGCTGGTGATTAGACTATGGGCACACCAAACAACTGACCATTATCATTTTGAGTAAGACCTGAAGGTTATTAACATTGGGTTGACTATAGAGGATCCTCAGACAGTCAGGTGTTTAGACTATGGACACACCAAACAACTGACCATTATCATTTTGAGTAAGACCTGAAGGTTATTGTCCCCCGAGTAACTAGTTGTGGGGGATATGGAAATACAGGGCGTCCGTCTGTGTGTCCATCCGTCCGTCCGGTCTTGTTAGCGCTCTCACAGGTACAATTCTTGGCAGATTTTTATAAAACTTATACTATAGGTTAATATCAGCAATATCTCGGACAAGTTGTATAATGGTGGATGATCGACTTTTTTTAAAAGAGTTATGCCCCTTGGAAATATTAAATTTATGGAAAATGGCCTCGTTAGCGCTCTCATGGGTACAATTCTTGCCAGATTTTTATAAAACTTATACTATAGGTTAATATCAGCAATATCTCAGACAAGTTTTATAATGGTGGACGATCGACTTTTTTTAAAAGAGCTTATGCCCCTTGGAAATATAAAATATGTGCAATGCGGGAGACATTGGAACTCTGTTCTTTTATTAACATGGGGTTGACTAAAGAGGATCCCCAGACAGTCAGGTGATTAGACTATGGACACACCAAACAGCTGACCATTAACTTTTTTAGTAAGACATGAAGGATCATCCAGACATAGTCATTTAGCACATGGATTGAATTTTTGCATTTTTATTTCTTCACTTTTGGTTCAGTTTAGTGAATATTATCAAAATTATGCTAAAATACATGTTCCTATACATTTTTTATACTGTTTGTTTCAGGTTTTGAACAAAATGCATATTTATTTTCCTTTTACATCCTTAATGAGGTTTTGATATGAGAACTTAACTGATGATATTAAAGAAAAAAATTGATAGATAGTAAATGTAAAAATCACATATCCTCTGATGTGTTATATGTCTAACTTAAGTATCATAAAGAATAAAATTATAAGCAGTTATATATATGTGCAAATTTATTAAACATAGGATGTAAAGTTGCTTCCCTTTTATTAGATTTGTCTTTACTATTTTACAAATAATTTTGATGCTATTTGAAAAATACAGAAGCTCAGATTTGTTGTTCTCACTGAAAACATTTTTCTTAGAATTTGTAAGCAACTGCATTATAATTAGTAAAGCTCAGTTACCCCAAACATCTAAACAACAGTAATGTAAGCAGCCGTCTATGCAGGATAACCAATTAATTGTCAAGCAGAATGGTGCCAAGCCATGATGTTTCTCCATTAACTAGATATTTTATAGTGGTTTAATGCTCACATTTTAAATCTATCATAGTTGCTTTCTCCTAAAAACCTCCTTGTATTACAGCTAAATGAATATTGATATCCAGTTATAATACAGATTCAATAAAGCTTGACAACCTGCCAGTTTTATCAATGATATAACCAAATACATTGTATTTACCAAGATTGCAGATTTCCTATGTATTTGATGTGTATTTACTCTACCATTTTATTATAAATTCAGAATGTCAATCAAATAACAATAACTGGAGGGCCAAAACCTGTGCTGTTTCTAGAATCCTATCATGGAAATGATCTTCATTTGAATACCCCAAAGAGATTTATAAAAAGATACCACATAAATAGCTTTCTTGAAATGAGATTTATCATGGGCTTTAATCTTGTCATGAGGAAGAGTCCAGTAAACTGATTACTCTTTTAGAGCGCTGTAACACCTGTAGCCTACTTACATGACAGAATGTGATACTTTTAAATAAAAAATGCAAGAAAAATATAATAATAAAATATTGCATGCAAATTGAATTGTAAAATAATATAAAAAACATGAAAAAATTTACAAATGTAAAAGGAACAAAAAACTGTTGGAACTTTTATGTCTTTCAATGTACATGTATATATGTACATTCTGATGATAAGTCATGGCCCAGGACGGGTAACCTTTCCTGCTCCTTTAATTGTACATGTATATATGTACAATCTGATGATAAGTCATGGCCCAGGACAGGTAACCTTTCCTGCTCCTTTAATTGTACATGTATATATGTACAATCTGATGATAAGTCATGGCCCAGGACAGGTAACCTTTCCTGCTCCTTTAATTGTACATGTATATAAGTACAATATGATGATAAGTCATGGCCCAGGACGGATAACCTTTCCTGCTCCTTTAATTGTACATGTATATATGTACAATCTGATGATAAGTCATGGCCCAGGACGGGTAACCTTTCCTGCTCCTTTAATTGTACATGTATATATGTACAATCTGATGATAAGTCATGGCCCAGGACGGGTAACCTTTCCTGCTCCTTTAATTGTTCATGTATATATGTACAATCTGATGATAAGTCATGGCCCAGGACGGGTAACCTTTCCTGCTCCTTTAATTGTACATGTATATATGTACAATCTGATGATAAGTCATGGCCCAGGACGTGTAACCTTTCCTGCTCCTTTAATTGTACATGTATATATGTACAATCTGATGATAAGTCATGGCCCAGGACGGGTAACCTTTCCTGCTCCTTTAATTGTTCATGTATATATGTACAATCTGATGATAAGTCATGGCCCAGGACGGGTAACCTTTCCTGCTCCTTTAATTGTACATGTATATATGTACATTCTGATGATAAGTCATGGCCCAGGACGGGTAACCTTTCCTGCTCCTTTAATTGTACATGTATATATGTACAATCTGATGATGAGTCATGGCCCAGGACGGATAACCTTTCCTGCTCCTTTAATTGCACATGTATATATGTACAATCTGATGATAAGTCATGGCCCAGGACGGGTAACCTTTCCTGCTCCTTTAATTGTACATGTATATATGTACATTCTGATGATAAGTCAATGGCCCAGGACAGGTAACCTTTCCTGCTCCTTTAATTGTACATGTATATAAGTACAATATGATGATAAGTCATGGCCCAGGACGGGTAACCTTTCCTGCTCCTTTAATTGTACATGTATATATGTACAATCTGATGATAAGTCATGGCCCAGGACGGGTAACCTTTCCTGCTCCTTTAATTGTACATGTATATAAGTACAATCTGATGATAAGTCATGGCCCAGGACGGGTAACCTTTCCTGCTCCTTTAATTGTACATGTATATATGTACATTCTGATGATAAGTCATGGCCCAGGACAGGTAACCTTTCCTGCTCCTTTAATTGTACATGTATATAAGTACAATCTGATGATAAGTCATGGCCCAGGACGGGTAACCTTTCCTGCTCCTTTAATTGTACATGTATATAAGTACAATATGATGATAAGTCATGGCCCAGGACAGGTAACCTTTCCTGCTCCTTTAATTGTACATGTATATATGTACATTCTGATGATAAGTCATGGCCCAGGACGGGTAACCTTTCCTGCTCCTTTAATTGTACATGTATATAAGTACAATCTGATGATAAGTCATGGCCCAGGACAGGTAACCTTTCCTGCTTCTTTAATTGTACATGTATATATGTACATTCTGATGATAAGTCATGGCCCAGGACGGGTAACCTTTCCTGCTTCTTTAATTGTACATGTATATAAGTACAATCTGATGATTAGTAGTGACCAAGGACAAGGAAGATGGGATTATGAACATATGACGAATGGAGAACATTTATTTTCAGCTGAGATACAATGTCTTTTAGCCAAGATTTGTTTTCTAATGTGTTGTGTACTCTGGTCATTTAAAAAAAATATTTATGTATTCAAATTCTTTTAAAACATAGAAATTGCACCTCAAAATGAATTTGTTATATTCAAATCTAGCATTTAAAATTGAATAAGTGTTACATGTTGATTATCTCTAATTTTACTACTAAATGGAGTGTTGATTACATTATACTGTCAAGGGAGTGCCCATAACATAATACAGTAATAACAGAGTATTATTGCTCATAAGAGTGTATAGGATATGATCCTAATGCATGATACATGTACTGTCATAAGGGAGTATTCATTCTTTGGAAATATCAATTACCTGTATTATTGAATAATATAAATAATGTAAATAGCTATGTTGCTAAAACAAACTTTTAACTGTAATTAACCTTTTTTCACTATTTGGTTTAAATGGTATATTTTATAATTTCAGAATCCAGGGTGACAATCATACAGAATGTCGGACTTTGAGGAGGGGGAGAAGCCGCCAGCCCCTCCTGTCAGGCATACAAGCACAAGGTAAGATAATAAGAGTTTTAGTCAACAACTCCTCCATACGGGTTTCTATATTTGCATTTTTATGAGGAACTTGTCCTTCATAATGTACTGTTTTAAACATGAAATAATACCACAAAATATGAAATGCTTGTATTATAATTTGTAAGTCATTCAATCAGTCATTAAACACGATTACATTTGTATAGACATAAGTTAACATAATATTGTTTTAGCTGAAGTACAAAATGTAGTACTTATGTCTGTCAAAATGTGAAGGATTCCTTTAATTCTACTCCATTACATAAGAATAAACATTTTCATGTCAGCTTATTTAAAATTCATAACAATAATACTGGAAGGTATTTAGCTAGACTTTTATCAATACATCTAACCTAAATTTCTCAATGAATCTTTAAGTTGTATTTAAATTGCTGTTAAGATGAATGTAAGAATAGATTCACACCTGAAAAGACCGAGCCAACCTTGCTTTTTTGACAAGGTAAAAGTCAACTGATCTAATAATGTAATGTTTACACAATGTCTGATCATTTTAAACACATGTGAATACCTTGGTTAATACACAGGAACTTAAAACGGTAGGACAGGAAAAATGACAAATCATAATGTAAATAGTCGCTGACACTGACAATAAAAAAATCAATAAACTGAGTGCATTTTATTCAGGATGGTACAGATTCATTCATAAATATGGTTTCCCCCTTAAATAGACCTAGATAAAAGAAAATGTAGGATATACAACAATAGAATAGTTCTGTATTGTAAACATTATGTAAAATTATATTAAATTCAGTATTTCTTGTACATGTTTAAATGTGAAAACTAAATTGTGCTGTTTTATCCCTTAACTTGCATTGTCTTATTTCGTGGTTTCTATATTTTAATCAGTGAAAAAACATCTTCTCTGCAAATGTTTTTTTTTTTTTTTCAAATACGATTGTTCAATTGAATTATTTATGTGATCTATAGACATAGATTTTTACTGATGATAAATATAATAGCTCTTAGGTAACCTCTCAGGTTTCTTTGCCTTGAGTTCTATTCAACTTGGAATATTGGTTTTGCACAAACACTGGATAAAAAGTTCACACAGTTATGACAGTTGTAAAAGATCTGAAATGAAAAAAAGTCTTGACCTCATGTATACAAAAGCCCATTTACATTTTTGTGTAAATGAATATGGATCAGGCAGTATAAGTGGCAAAGTTGTCTGGCTTAAGATAGTTTGTCTGGTTAATGAATATGGGTATAAAAGGAGGGTGCTCATTTTGACATCTGTCACTATATATTTAATTTCAAATAAGTGGGTTTTTTTTGTGGCAGCTTTATACTATGATTCATCCTAGTATTTGTTATTTCAAAGTAAAATTAAGTTGACTTGCATAAAAAAAAACTAGTAATGACAAAATATTTCTTAATGAGTTCTTTACAAGACTTCAGCATAAGAAAAGTAAATACTATAGCTAATTGTTTATTATTTAGACATGCAGGGATTCATATAAAATTCACTAGAATGATTGACATGTCTATTTTACTTCATTATTGATTCTTCCAATGTTAAAATATTACACAGATATTTCTGATGGAAAAAAACTAATTGGTGCATGCTGGGTAAGAAATAACTATTTCTGACAGGCAGTTGAGAGAGTGCACTCATGTGTATTTATAGTAATACATATTATGCATTATATCTTCCAACTGGTAAAAACAAAATATTTATTCTTCTTACAAAAAATCTTACCATTAAAAAGTAGATTTTTGTGAAAAGATATGTAGTCTCTGATTTTGTCTGTGTACCATAGTAAAATCTAGCATATACTCCTGTGGGGAATTTTTTTTCAATATCAGTGGAGCATGAGTTTTCTTCCAAAATGACCTCTTATCCATGCAGGAATCGAACCAGTGACCCCTGACACAGATAACCCAATCTACAGAGCAAAATCAGAGTTCTCGATAAGTGGTGGTCCTAGGGATTTGACCACCACATTTTTGGGAAGGACCAACACAATTTTGGTAATTTGCAATAGAAATGATAGTGAGGACCTTCATATTTAATTTTCTTCAAGGACCACCAGGCAAAAAAAAATTTCGAGAACTCTGCAAAATGAAGTAAACAAAGCTAATAACTGTGCTAGTGGAGTACTCCTTTGTGCTCTAATTAATAGAGAGTTGTTTGAACTACAAATTCAAGGAAAGCATTTCTATTCTATATAGTTAAGGGGAGGGGATGATTAATGGAAAAGATGTTATTTCAAATGTTGCTTCATAAGAATTAGTACTGATGCAAAATTAACAGGACATTCCTTCCCCAAAAACAGATATAAGAGAGCTGCCACTCAGAGAACTCTCAGGATTTTATTCAGATGTTGATTGTATATAAATAACAATAAGAGGACTTGACATTAAAATCTACAACCAACGACATTATTATAAGGAGATATTTAAGTATGTTCCAATCTGTTTATTGTCTTCCTTCTATGTTTGTCCCTCATGTGTCATTAGGATTTTAACAAAATGTCCCTTTAGCATGCGTATCCATCAGTTTATTGTTAGAGATATTGTAATAATTATACCTAAATATCATAGTTTATTGTTAGAGATATTGTAATAATTATACCTAAATATCATAGTTTGAGTCATTGTAATCAATGATAATGAAGTATCTACAATGTTGTATAAATATGATTAATGTCAACACTTAATAGTAATCAAATACTTATATTTTGCATTTCCTTGTTTATTATAAACAAAGCCTCAGGCAGACAAAAAACATTGTCAGTAGAGTAAAAAAAATACTATGTATAAAGTAGATTGATGTACGTTTTTTTACCCTGAATTCTCTTTTCAGTAGCATTATAATACTGATGTTTTTCTTATTTGCCGTTTTTTTAGGAGAAATGAATTTACAAAATGTATATCATTGACTCACTACATGTCCATTCGTTTCTTTTTCCATTATTACATTGTGTAAGTACATCTCATTCAGCATGTTTTTATGGAATAAACCATACTTTATCTATTCTGACTTAGGATGTAGGGAACATATATATATGAAATTTAGCTTCACATTGCCCCTTTGTACCATATAAAAATAAGAAGGGGTATGCGTGCCAATGAGACAACTTTCCACCCGAGACCAAATGACGTAGAAGTTAGCAATTATAGGTTACTGTAAAGCTTTCAACAAAGAGCAAAACCCATACCTCATAGTAAGCTATAAAAGACCCTGACATGACAATGGTAAAAGAATTCAAACAAGAAAAATAATATACAAAACAATAAAAGAAAAACAAAAACAAATATGATAAACAGCAACAACCATTGAATTACAGGCTCCTGTCTTGGGACAGGCACATTTAGAATGTTGTAGGGTTAAACCCAAATCTCCCCCTAACCTGAAACAGTAGAATAACAACACAACATAAGAACAAACTATAAAACTCAGTTGAAAAATACTTGACTCATATCAACAGAAAAGCACACAAAAAACAAGTATCACAAATTTAGGATTACTCAAAGTTCTGCTACAAAAATAATGTAGCAAAGACTAAAATAAAGACATCATAAACAGTCCTGAGAAAAAGACGATCTTATGCAATGCCAAAATATCAGTATACGAATTTAGGAAGTAATGGCAATAATATTTAGTCATGGTTTAATTTATTGATAACAAAATCAATGTTTGTGCAGATAAAACAATACATGTTTACTATTTACTCTTTGAAGAAAGAAAAAGCATAAAAAAGACCACACACACCAGGAATGATCAGCTTTTAAGTTTGCAATATTGTAATGCATGTTTCATAAATTCCAAACTTTACAAGCAAGATAATTATATTTCCATCATCAAAATGAAAGAAAATGTTAAATATAATTTAATATTTTTGAAAAAACTTTAAGTTCCAATTTAATTTAATTTTTATGAAGTTAGAAATCTGATTCAGACTGAACTGAAGCAAGGAAATTTAATCTTTTAGTAGTGAATAATAGATGATATTTTTACATGCAGCAGATTGCAGCTGACAGTCAATTCCAGTTATTCCTTTGGTATTATTTATTTTAAAAAAATTGCTGCATTCAGTATAGTCAATTTCAACATGTATCACTGAAGATTTGGCATTTTCAAACCAAGGCTGTTAAAGATGTTTAGAAACAGAAACCTTTAAAATAATTTTTCAATTTTCACAGCTACCTCAAGCAAAGTTTTTGTTCACAATGTTGGTACCTAAAATCTCAGCAACTGTCATTGCCTTTGTTATTCTGCTCAATTCAACTTAAGTTTGTTTGAATTCTATAACATCTACTATGTTGGTAAACTTCTAAAATATAGGATATGCCAAAACACATAATTAACAGCGCCTGGTGATGATTTGTAGATTTGTAAACTTCGTTTAGACAGCAACCAGACATATATAAACATTACACACACATGCATGTATACACATTACACACAAATATATATAAGTTAAGGGCATTACCAGTAACCAAGGAATGCTATTTTTTATAATGTTTGCTTTATTTCAGTTATATCTTCAAATACTTTAAAACATAACATTTAGACTTATATGATGGAGAAAACTGTCTAATATATGTTGCCTTCTGATTACATTGATACAAAGTATCCATTGAATGAGACTAATTTGATCAAGCATCATGTTATGTCTGTATACCGGACTATACCCATTATCTTACAGTCATTTATTCTGGCATAGAAAAGTGAACCACAATGTGGAATCGTTGCATTTGAAGTCTATTTTATTTTACAGTGAAAATTCTTGATAACTTCAAAATCTGTAGCAGTAAAACAGATGTTTTTTATGAAAGTTGGTTAGTTCACTGAGGGTGCTATTTGGAGAATTTGGAAATGGCAGATCTTTTATAGTTTCTATTCAATTTATACACAACTATTATAGACTCAGGTGAGGACTCAGTGGCCCAGTGGTCTCAGTAGTTCATTCACAGCAATCAGTAGCCCGTCAACAATGAGGTTGTTAGATTGAACCTCACTGGTGGCAGGTGTACATGTGTACAACTATCTTTATTGACTAGGATTGTCGGTTTTCATGCTGAGAGTCATGGTTATCTCTAGGTACATGTAGTAGGGCTTCACTAGGTTGTCAACAATGAGGTTGTTAGATTGAACCTCACTGGTGGCAGGTGTGTACAACTCCTATTTTTATTGACTAGGATTGTCAGTTTTCATGCTGAAAGTCAGTGTTCTCTCTAGGTAGTAGGGCTTCACTAGCCGGTCAACACTGAGGTTGTTAGATTAAACCCCACTAGTGGCAGTTGTGTACAACTATCTATTGACTAGGATTGTCAGTTTTCATACTGAAAGTCATGGTTATCTCTAGGTAGTATGGCTTTGTCCACAAATTAAAACTGGCTGCCACATAAAAGCCAAGAGTCCTGAAAATGGAGTTTAAACTCCAACAATCAATCAGTAAATATAGACTCTGGACAATTCAGAGTTTCACATGTTGTATAGACATTATTACTGACTTTTGACTCCAGAGTATATAGTTTGCGACAGGTTACCTTGTCTGCGGTAGGACATTCTGGTACTAATTCAAGTAAGAGTAACTAAAAGAAATAAAATCATGTCAGTACCAAAGTACTGTCGAAATGCGCATCCAGTACAGTATAATTAGTACTATTGCTTGCTTTTAATTGATTCTTTACTGACACAAATGAATTGTGTAGAGCAACTGTCAGAATCAAGAAAACTGTTCTGTAATCTCTTACAATTTCAATGGAATATACATCTTATTTATCTTCTTCAAAATATGTAAACTGATTTATAACACAATGTTAGTTGACTGCTTTATCAGTATTTTATATTTTGTAGAGTTGCTGATCTTCCTCATGAACATAAACCTCTCCCTAAAGAACCTGACAGTAAAGAAGAAAAAAGAAGAATAAAGACTCCAAAAAGTGAGCAATTTACCTCCTTTTTCTCACTCCTATTTTTATGTATTATTCATACTGTGGTGGAGGAATTTTTGAAAACCAGTGCTTGGTTCATTTTCCTATAAAAACCAGTGCTTGGTTCATTTTCCTATAAAAACAGTGCTTGGTTCATTTTCCTATGAAAAAAACAGTGTTTGGTTCACTTTCCTATTAAAGTCAGTGGTTGGTTCATTTTCCTATCAAAAAAAGTGTTTGTTTTATTTTCCTATTTAAACCAGTGCTTGTTTCATTTTGCTTTTAAAACCAGTGCTTGGTTCATTTTCCTATAAAAACCAGTGTTTGTTTCATTTTTAATATAAAAACCAGTGCTTGGTTTATTTTCCTATGATAACCAATGTTTGGTTCATTTTCCTATAAAAACCAGTGCTTTGTTAATTTTCCTTTAAAAACCAGTGTTTTGTTCATTTTCTGATAAAAACCTGTGCTTGGTTCATTTTCCTGTAAAAACCAGTGCTTGGTTTATTTTCCTATAAAAACCAGTGCTTTGTTCATTTTCCTATATAAACCAGTGCTTGGTTCATTTTCCTTTAAAAACCAGTGTTTGTTTCATTTTCTGATAAAAACAAGTGTTTGTTTCATTTTCCTGTAAAAACCAGTGCTAGGTTTATTTTCGTATAAAAACCAGTGCTAGGTTTATTTTCGTATAAAAACCAGTGAGGATGCAAGGTCCTCAGGCTCGTCAGACAATTTCCATTTGACCTTGACCTCATTTCATGGATCAGTGAACAAGGTTAAGTTTTCGTGGTCAAGTCCATATATCAGATACTATAAGCAGTAGGTCTACTATATTTGGTATATGGAATGATTGTAAGGTGTACATGTCCAACTGGTAGGTGTCATCTGACCTTGACCTCATTTTCATGGTTCAGTGGTCAAAGTTAAGTTTTTGAGTTTTGGTCTTTTTTTCTATTACTATATGCAATAGGTCAACTATAAATGGTGTATTGAAATATTTTATGATGTACATGTCAGTCTCACAGGTTTTATTTAACCTTGACCCCATTTTCACGGTTCATTTCTCAGTGTTAAGTTTTTGTGTTTTGGTCTGTTTTTCTTCTGATGTATGGAAGGATTGTAAGGTGTATATGTCTGTCTGGCAGGTATCATCTGACCTTGACCTCATTTTCATGGTTCATTGGTCAATGTTAAGTTTTCATGGTTAAGTTTGTTTCTTAGATACTATAAGCAATAGGTCAACTATATTTAATGCCTAAATTGATTGTAAGGTGTACATGTCTGTCTGGCATGGTTCATCTGACCTTGACTTCATTTTCATGGTTCATTGGTCAATGTTAAGTTTTCTTGTTTAAGAATGTTTCTTAGAAACAATAAGCAATAGGTCAACTATGTTTGGTTTGTTGAATGATTGTAAGGTGTACATGTATTTCTCGTTTGGTTTATCTGACCTTGACCTCATTTTCTTGGATCATGTTAAGTTTATGTGTTACTTGTAGTAAAGCTTTGTATTTAGGACTATCAACATAAAATCGATGGTTAGTAAAGAAGGCGAGACATTTCAGCGTGTGCACTCTTGTTGTTTAAAATCCAGTGCCTGTTTCATTTTCCTTTAAAAACTATTGTTTGTTTCATTTTCCTTTAAAAACCTGTGCTATGGTTATTTTCCTATAAAAACCTGTGTTTGGTTCATTTTCATACAAAAACCAGTGCTTGGTTCATTTTTCAATAAAGCTTTGGGCAAATTTGTGCACATCTTTCAATGTGATGATAGACATATAAGTAATAGACAAGGAATATCAGTAGTATGATATTATAAATTAATACAAGAAGAGTATTTCTGCTGATTATCTTACCTGTGAGAATGTAGTGAACATAACAGAGATGGAATTTCTAAACATTACATTTGATTCCATTAATGGCAGATTTATTTCCCTTTAATAATCAGGAAATTAGTGATGAATTTTAGACAGTAGTGTGGAAAGCATGTTTCCTGTGTATTTATATGTAAAGTGACATAAGTGTTAACTTTTATGAGGTTATAACATTTTTTATTATATTTAATGATTAAAATGAATTTACAGATTTTATTAATTAAAAAGATGATTTTGAGATGAGGAAATATTTTGTGATTTCCCTCACACTTTGACATACATATGTACAAAACTACCCTAAATAAATACCCCATGACCAGGAAAGGAAGTACTTGTTATACACAATTTCTACTAATGAACCCTTCTCCTTAACACAGGATATCAAAGGCTACCAAGGGGACAAGATTTACTGGCAGATATTTTTGTCATTGTGTAGGGAAAAGATAACATTGTTGTTGAAATTATATTGATAATAAATAGCATTTTTTCCCTTTTAATTTCCTGTTTGACATTTTTTGTACATTATTGATTTGTGACAGAAGGTCAATTCCCCATTGGTAACCTCGATTAGAATTAGTCATTGCATCTTTAGAACAGAATGTGCACAATGGAGTAATTAAATTAAATGAACCCTCAGAGAAAGACAATCATATTGCTACCCTGAAATGATATGAAAATTTAGAATAATTCAATCTGACCAACAGATGGGATTTACTCATAAAATTCATGGGAATATAACTTTAATTTCTCATCCTGTGACTTATTAGGGAAATTGACAATTGTGTTGTGGTTAAAGTACATAAAAAACATGGAGTAACTTAAGTTTTAAGTGTATTTGTTCCGTTGAGTAACTTAATCAAAGGATGACAAAAGGAGTATGATGTTGTTGTGATTTAAAATCATGAAGAAGCAGCGTTCAAGTGGTGGGAATTTTTTATCCAATACTCTTCGAAGAATTAGCGTCACAGGTACAAAGTTATATATTTAACCAGTTTCATTCTTGGACATAAGTTTTTTAAATTTTTTGTTTGAAAATGTTTGTGTGAATTCTATGTTTTTTAACTTTTGTATTTTATTATTTGGACATTTGAAATTTCTTTTAAATGATAGAACTGTTAAACAAAGTATAAATTATTACGTTAGATAAACAAGGGTCCTACTAAACAGATGGATAAACAGAGGAACTTCTAAACAGATGGATAAATAGGGGTCCTACTAAACAGATGGATAAACAGAGGAACTTCTAAACAGATGGGTAAACAGGGGTCCTACTAAACAGATGGATAAACAGAGGAACTTCTAAACAGATGGATAAACAGGGGTCCTACTAAACAGATGGATAAACAGAGGAACTTCTAAACAGATGGGTAAACAGGGGTCCTACTAAACAGATGGATAAATAGGGGTCCTACTAAACAGATGGATAAATAGGGGTCCTACTAAACAGATGGGTAAACAGGGGTCCTACTAAACAGATGGGTAAACAGGGGTCCTACTAAACAGATGGATAAACAGGGGTCCTACTAAACAGATGGATAAACAAGGGTCCTACTAAACAGATGGATAAATAGGGGTCCTACTAAACAGATGGATAAATAGGGGTCCTACTAAACAGATGGGTAAACAGGGGTCCTACTAAACAGATGGGTAAACAGGGGTCCTACTAAACAGATGGATAAATAGGGGTGCTACTAAACAGATGGATAAACAAGGGTCCTACTAAACAGATGGGTAAACAGGGGTCCTACTAAACAGATGGGTAAACAGGGGTCCTACTAAACAGATGGATAAATAGGGGTCCTACTAAACAGATGGATAAATAGGGGTCCTACTAAACAGATGGGTAAACAGGGGTCCTACTAAACAGATGGGTAAACAGGGGTCCTACTAAACAGATGGATAAATAGGGGTGCTACTAAACAGATGGATAAACAAGGGTCCTACTAAACAGATGGATAAACAGGGGTCCTACTAAACAGATGGATAAACAAGGGTCCTACTAAACAGATGGATAAACAGGGGTCCTACTAAACTGATGGGTAAACAGGGGTCCTACTAAACTGATGGGTAAACAAGGGTCCTACTAAACAGATGGGTAAACAGGGGTGCTACTAAATAGATGGATAAACAGGGGTGCTACTAAACAGATGGATAAACAGGGGTCCTACTAAACAGATGGGTAAACAGGGATCCTATTAAACAGATGGATAAACAGGGGTCCTACTAAACAGATGGATAAACAGGGGTCCTACTAAACCGATAGATAAATAGGGGTCCTACTAAACTGATGGATAAACAGGGGTCCTACTAAACCGATGGATAAACAGGGGTCCTACTAAACAGATGGATAAACAGGGGTCCTACTAAATAGATGGGTAAACAGGGGTACTACTAAACAGATGGGTAAACAGGGGTCCTACTAAACAGATGGATAAATAGTGGTGCTACTAAACAGATGGATAAACAGGGGTCCTATTAAACAGATGGGTAAACAGGGGTCCTACTAAACAGATGGGTAAACAGGGGTCCTACTAAACAGATGGGTAAACAGGGGTCCTACTAAAGAGATGGGGAAACAGGGATCCTACTAAACAGATGGATAAACAGGGGTCCTACTAAACAGATGGGTAAACAGGGGTCCTACTAAACAGATGGAGAAACAGGGGTCCTACTAAACAGATGGGTAAACAGGGGTCCTACTAAACAGATGGATAAACAGGGGTCCTATTAAACAGATGGGTAAATAGGGGTCCTACTAAACAGATGGGTAAACAGGGATCCTACTAAACAGATGGATAAACAGGGATCCAACTAAATAGATGGGTAAACAGGGGTCCTACTAAACTGATGGGTAAACAAGGGTCCTACTAAACAGATGGGTAAACAGGGGTGCTACTAAATAGATGGATAAACAGGGGTGCTACTAAACAGATGGATAAACAGGGGTCCTCCTAAACAGATGGATAAACAGGGATCCTATTAAACAGATGGATAAACAGGGGTCCTACTAAACAGATGGATAAACAGGGGTCCTACTAAACCGATGGATAAATAGGGGTCCTACTAAACTGATGGATAAACAGGGGTCCTACTAAACCGATGGATAAACAGGGGTCCTACTAAACAGATGGATAAACAGGGGTCCTACTAAATAGATGGGTAAACAGGGGTACTACTAAACAGATGGGTAAACAGGGGTGCTACTAAACAGATGGATAAATAGTGGTGCTACTAAACAGATGGATAAACAGGGGTCCTATTAAACAGATGGGTAAACAGGGGTCCTACTAAACAGATGGGTAAACAGGGGTCCTACTAAACAGATGGGTAAACAGGGGTCCTACTAAAGAGATGGGGAAACAGGGATCCTACTAAACAGATGGATAAACAGGGGTCCTACTAAACAGATGGGTAAACAGGGGTCCTACTAAACAGATGGAGAAACAGGGGTCCTACTAAACAGATGGGTAAACAGGGGTCCTACTAAACAGATGGATAAACAGGGGTCCTATTAAACAGATGGGTAAATAGGGGTCCTACTAAACAGATGGGTAAACAGGGGTCCTACTAAACAGATGGATAAACAGGGGTGCTACTAAACCGATTGATAAATAGGGGTCCTACTAAATAGATGGGTAAACAGGGGTCCTACTAAACAGATGGATAAACAGGGGTGCTACTAAACCGATTGATAAATAGGGGTCCTACTAAATAGATGGGTAAACAGGGGTCCTACTAAATAGATGGGTAAACAGGGGTCCTACTAAATAGATGGATAAACAGGGGTCCTACTAAATAGATGGGTAAACAGGGGTCCTACTAAATAGATGGGTAAACAGGGGTCCTACTAAACAGATGGATAAGCAGGGGTTCTATAGCTACTTAACCGATGGGTAAATAGGGGTCCTATTAAACTGATGGATAAACAGGGGTCCTACTAAATAGATGGGTAAACAGGAGTCCTACTAAACAGATGGATAAACAGGGGTGCTACTAAACCGATTGATAAATAGGGGTCCTACTAAATAGATGGGTAAACAGGGGTCCTACTGAAAAATGGATAAACAGGGGTCCTACTAAATAGATGGGTAAACAGGGGTCCTACTAAACCGATGGATAAATAGGGGTCCTACTAAATAGATGGATAAACAAGGGTCCTACTAAACTGATGGATAAGCAGGGGTGCTACTAAACCGATTGATAAATAGGGGTCCTACTAAACAGATTGATAAATAGGGGTCCTATTAAAATGATAGATAAACAGGGGTCCTACTAAACAGATGGATAAACAAGGGTCCTACTAAACAGATGGATAAACAGGGGTCCTACTAAACAGATGGATAAACAAGGGTCCTACTAAACAGATGGATAAACAGGGGTCCTACTAAACAGATGGATAAACAGGGGTCCTACTAAACAGATGGATAAACAGGGGTCCTACTAAACAGATGGATAAACAAGGGTCCTACTAAACAGATGGGTAAACAGGGGTCCTCCTAAACAGATGGATAAACAGGGGTCCTACTAAACTGATGGATAAACAGGGGTCCTACTAAATAGATGGGTAAACAGGGATCCTACTAAATAGATGGGTAAACAGGGGTCCTCCTAAACAGATGGGTAAATAGGGGTCCTACTAAACAGATGGATAAACAGGGTGCTATTAAACAGATGGATAAACAAGGGTCCTACTAAACAGATGGATAAATAGGGGTCCTACTAAACAGATGGGTAAACAGGGGTCCTACTAAATAGATGGATAAACAGGGGTCCTACTAAATAGATGGATAAACAGGGGTCCTACTAAACAGATGGGTAAACAGGGGTCCTACTAAACAGATGGATAAACAAGGGTCCTACTAAACAGATGGATAAATAGGGGTCCTACTAAATAGATGGGTAAACAGGGATCCTACTAAATAGATGGGTAAACAGGGGTCCTCCTAAACAGATGGGTAAATAGGGGTCCTACTAAACTGATGGATACACAGGGGTCCTACTAAACAGATGGATAAACAGGGGTCCTACTAAACAGATGGTAAACAGGGGTCCTATTAAACAGATGGGTAAACAGGGGTCCTACTAAACAGATGGGTAAACAGGGGTCCTACTAAATAGATGGATAAACAGGGGTCCTACTAAACTGATGGATACACAGGGGTCCTACTAAACTGATGGATACACAGGGGTCCTACTAAACAGATGGATAAACAGGGGTCCTACTAAACAGATGGTAAACAGGGGTCCTATTAAACAGATGGGTAAACAGGGGTCCTACTAAATAGATGGATAAACAGGGGTCCTACTAAATAGATGGGTAAACAGGGGTCCTACTAAATAGATGGGTAAACAGGGGTCCTACTAAATAGATGGGTAAACAGGGGTCCTACTAAATAGATGGGTAATCAGGGGTCCTACTAAATAGATGGATAAACAGGGGTCCTACTAAATAGATGGGTAAACAGGGGTCCTACTAAATAGATGGGTAAACAGGGGTCCTACTAAATAGATGGGTAAACAGGGGTCCTACTAAACTGATGGGTAAACAGGGGTCCTCCTAAACAGATGGATAAACAGGGGTCCTACTAAACTGATGGATAAACAGGGGTGCTACTAAACTGATGGGTAAACAGGGGTCCTACTAAATAGATGGATAAACAGGGGTCCTACTAAACTGATGGATAAACAGGGGTCCTACTAAATAGATGGGTAAACAGGGGTCCTACTAAACAGATGGATAAACAGGGGTCCTACTAAACAGATGGGTAAACAGGGGTCCTATTAAACAGATGGCTAAGCAGGGGTCCTATAGCTACTAAACAGATAGTTAAACAGGGGTCCTACTAAACAGATGGCTAAGCAGGGGTCCTATAGCTACTAAACAGATAGGTAAACAGGGGTCCTATTAAACAGATGGCTAAGCAGGGGTCCTATAGCTACTAAAAAGATAGGTAAACAGGGGTCCTACTAAACAGATAGGTAAATAGGGGTCCTATAGCTACTAAATAGATGGGTAAACAGGGGTCCTACTTAACAGATGAATAAATAGGGGTCCTATTAAACAGATGGATAAATAGGGGTCCTATTAAACAGATGGATAAATAGGGGTCCTATTAAACAGATGGATAAATAGGGGTCCTATTAAACAGATGGATAAGCAGGGGTCCTATAGCTACTAAACAGATGGATTATTAAACAAGGGTCTGATTTGACTGATTCTGTAGTTCTACAACTGCTAACCCTTCCAGGTCACCTAAGTTCTTTCCGGTTCTTGGTAGGGTTCATGTTGCCTAATATTGTATGTAAGTAGAGCATTAAATTTGGTTTTGAATTTACCTGTTTTAATTCTTTTGAAAGAGATTTGTTTTATAAGCCAAGCTAAGGGTATTGCTTTGTCTGAAAATGTTTTGTTTTGTTTTATATAGTCAGGAATATGATTGCGTAATTTCTAACACATTTAACTTGGCATTTCATGTTTTAAGGGAATAACATTTTACTCTTTAAAATGCTATTTGATTATGGACAACCTTTTACTAGATTACAGTTGAACTCAAATACATTTCTCCCTCCTCAAACAGACTTTGGAACAAAAGATAGATTGATTTAGAAAGGCCAATAGAGTCGCATTGCATCCCCCTAATATTATTCTGTTGGTTATAGATTACTCAATATTCTTTAAGATTAATACTATCGATGTGAACAATCCATGTTGTGTCCATGGATGGGTAATGGAAGATTCAATTCTTTATTTCCTTGAATGTTCTATATATACATCGGCACGTAAACAGCTGAAAATTAGTCTTAACTTCCTAGGGAATTTAAAAATTGAAACTTTACTTTTTGGCAATGATGCTTTTTCTGAAGATTTAAATGACACAGAAATTAACAACTACAGGTCACCGCTACATACGGTCGGTTCAATAGTACATTCAAACACACAAAAAGTTCTTTTTCTTTAAAAAAAAAAAATATTTTACCCTTCCTCTATGTTGGATCTTTTTTCTTTTTTGTTGTCATTTTTTTTTTCTGCAACATACTTCAGTATACAACGCCATCATGCATTATAATTGTTCATTTCCTTTTCTTTTAATATAATTGATTTTGTTTCCTTTTATATTTAAGACTTTTCTAAATATATTTCTTGCTGATGCATGTGTATTATAAAGTTTGTTTATAAACTAAACTAGAATGTCAGACACATATGATTAGTTTGTATTTACTGGAAAATATACTCAACAACATTGAGCAGGAGCATAATTAATGGACAGTAGCTTGAATTACATTTCCGCATGATTACAGCAGTTCAGAGATACAGTGAAATTGAAATAGGAAATATTTTAAACCTAATGTGTAATTCCAAAATTCATATCCTATTAAACCAAAACTATTAATCACTGACTGTTCTTGGAAAAAATATATGTTGTGAAAAACATATAATGACAAATCTGGGAAAGCCCGTTTTAGTTTGTCTCAACTAGTACTCTCAACATCTGCATCTGTGTGCACATCTTACAGGAGTTCTAAGAAACATAAAGACAAACATCTATATTATCAGAGTATCGTGCTCTATGATTGATAAGGATGGTGAAACAATTCCTTGAGAATTCAGTTGGTGCACTAGTTTTCCAGTGGTAGTCTTAATTTCCAGCCTTTTATCTTATTTGACCCACTTTGTAGAACCTATAGATAATTGGTTTCATTTTTAAAAGCATTTGCTTTTACTGCCATTGTGTATGGCCATTTTGTTTATCGTCAAAATAGAGTGCACACGTTTACCAACACGTTTAATTTTATTTTTTACAATTAAATTTTGCTGTTTTAAAAGAATAAATAGTGCCCGGTATTTCGTATGGAAACAGTTTAAACGAAAAGATCTAGATTTTTACATTTTTAAGATATACAGCAAATGCTTTTTCTAGCACTATAATGCTTTGATTCATTTAATTGTTCATGAAATATTTGCCACTGGAGTTAAGCAACCAACAATCAATCAATTTAATGTTTAGTATTTGGTACACATATGTTGGAGTACTGCCTGTCATTTAAATTCATATTATTTATAGTTGTTTTATATTTCAGGTACTAAGATAACGAGGCTTCAGAATGAGAAGCCAGTCATATCATCCCCATCTAACTTTGAACATACCATCCATGTTGGATTTGATGCTCATACTGGAGAGTTCACGGTAGGTAATCAGACTTTGAACATACCATCCATGTTGGATTTGATGCTCATACTGGAGAGTTCATGGTAGGTAATCAGACTTTGAACATACCATCCATGTTGGATTTGATGCTCATACTGGAGAGTTCATGGTAGGTAATCAGACTTTGAACATACCATCCATGTTGGATTTGATGCTCATACTGGAGAGTTCACGGTAGGTAATCAGACTTTGAACATACCATCCATGTTGGATTTGATGCTCATACTGGAGAGTTCACGGTAGGTAATCAGACTTTGAACATACCATCCATGTTGGATTTGATGCTCATACTGGAGAGTTCACAGTAGGTAATCAGACTTTGAACATACCATCCATGTTGGATTTGATGCTCATACTGGAGAGTTCACGGTAGGTTATCAGACTTTGAATATACCATCCATGTTGGATTTGATGCTCATACTGGAGAGTTCACGGTAGGTTATCAGACTTTGAATATACCATCCATGTTGGATTTGATGCTCATACTGGAGAGTTCACGGTAGGTTATCAGACTTTGAATATACCATCCATGTTGGATTTGATGCTCATAACAGAGAGTTCACTATAGGTTATCAGAACGACAGTTCTTACATTTGTTTGCTTTTTAAATGATGTTATCATAAAAAGATATGTGTAAACTACAACTTTTAATAAATTCCTGCATGTAGATTCATACTTCATCAATAATTTAAGATAATATTTAGTGAAAGTTTTGACTTGTTCAATTTTATAAAAAAGATAGTGTGAACTACAACTTTTAATAAATTTCAACAAGTAGAATCATACTTCAACAATAATTTAAGAACAAATTTAGTGAAAGTTTTGACATATTACAGAACCTACTGTCTCAATCAAATTACTGCAGATATAGGAGTATAGTTTAATATTCTATATTTCAGGGCATGCCAGAATCATGGGCTAAACTACTGTCTCAATCAAACATCTCTAAATCTGAACAAAAGAAGAATCCTCAGGCCGTTTTAGATGTACTGAAGTATTATGACACATCCACAAAAGAAAAAGATATACAAAAACCTAAATATATGACCAACATCAAACCCCCTAGTAAGTTACTATCTAACATCAAACCCCCTAGTAAGTTACCATCTAACATCAAACCCCCTAGTAAGTTACTATTTCAGTATAAAGGTAGGAATGACCTTTGTCATCAAAGGTCAAACACTTTTTTTTCAATACAGGTAGCCTCAAATGAACTTAGAAATGTAATTGTCATTTTTATACGCCCGTTTACGGGACGTATTATGGTATACCATTGACCGTCTGTCTGTTTGTCTGTCCGTCCATCCGTTGTCAACATGTCCGACATTTACTCAAAAAAGCTTTAACCAATATGCATGAAACTTTGGTGAATTGTTTATATCTATTGACGTGAGCTCCCTTTCGTTTTTTATAAATTTCAGATTTACCGTTTCCGAGTTTTGGGGTTTTATTCATTATAAAAGGGGGGATTTTCCAGTTTTCTGACAATAACTCAAGAATGCTTTCACCAACTTGCAAGAAATTTTGGTGAATTGTTTATAACTATTGACATGAGCTCCCTTTTGGATTTTTATAAATTTTAGATTTAACGTTTCCGAGTTACAGGATTTTATTCATAAAAAAAGGGGATTTTCCAGTTTTCGGACAATAACTAAAAAATGCTTTCAGCAGTTCTCATGAAACTTTGGTGAATTGTTTATATCTGTTGATGTAAACTCCCTTTAGAATTTTATAAATTTTAGATTTTACGTTTCTGAGTTATGGGGTTTTATTCATTAAAAAAGGGGGGGATTTTCCAGTTTTTGGACAATAACTCAAAAATGCTTTCAGCAGTTCTCATGAAACTTTGGTGAATTATTTATAGCTATTGATGTAATCTCCCTATTGATTTTCATAAATTTCAAATATGACATTGAGAAGAAATTGAATTTTAATTGTTTATAGTCTGACAACAGATTTACTAAGTATTGCACAACAGCACTGTGTATTGCATAACAGCAAGAAATCTTTAATTGAATATAAATTCAATTCATATAACCAATTTCAAGTTCTTTGACTACGTTTATTCAGAAACCTATAATATGTCAAATATTTAATTACAATCCAAATTGACAGACCTGTATCAAGCTTGAATATTGTGTCCATTTTTGCTCCAACTGTTCAGGGTTGGACCTCTGCGGGCATATCCAGCTGAGCTCAGCGAAGCAGTTTATTCAAATTGCATTATTTATGTACCGTTAGCATCAAATGGAGTAAAATATTTATCGTTAACATTATTTTATGCAAAATTATATCCTTAATTTTCATATGGGGTACCCTATTTCTATCCTCCAGTATAGGATTTTGGGGTTTCCCACAGTAAGACATGAAAAACTGAATCCAGAACTGTCTTACACCTAATAAGAGTATTGGAAACTTCCTTAAAAATCGCTTAAATGCATCAACAGAGGTACACTTTTTATATGTCTGCCAAAGATGGATGCATTATGGTATACTGCAATGACTGCTGTTGATTTATCTAATTTGTATTCTTTTGTATTTTTACACAATGTTAAGTTTTATAAAGACCTGATACCAGATCAGTCATTCCATTGCTATAAATATGTTTAAAAACAGAAGCAATTTATATTAAACTCGGGTATACTTTCACAAATCTTTATGAATATTTTGACATTGACACTGTTTTGTTCATTGAATGACATATATTACATTTACCTACAATGTCCACTCCCTCTGATTGGAATATCATGTGCTGCTGAAAGAACCGTTTCTTAAGTTCATTTTTAGTAAACTAAATGTTGCTGTAAAATAAAATTCAAAAAAAATTACTTTGCAAAGTAATATTTAATAAGAACCTACTGTTCACAATATTTTTTTTATAATTTTAGGTGCAGAATCAAGAGGTCCAACACTATCAGACAAATTTAACACAAATGTTATTATCTCACAGGTAATTCACTTTAGTTTGACCAACAATAAGGTTACAACTGTAAATTCTGGTTAGTCACATTAGCACAATTTGACTGATAGACAATTTTGTTACCACTGCAACTTCTAGTTATTCACTTGAGCACAGATTAACTGACAAAAAATTATTACCATTGTAAATTGTCATTAGTCTCTCAAGTATAGGTTGACTGTCTAACCACCACTGTAAATTCAAATTAGTCACATTAAAAGTTTGACTTGACAAAAAACTAGTCTACCACTGTAAATTCTCATGATAGCATTAGATAAAATTGGTGGTTGTATTAGGAAAGACAATCCATAGATATACTTTGAATTAGTTATCTAACAAAAGACAGTGTTTTATTGCTATTGCTATCTTGAGAATTATTTTTCATCCCACAATTTACAGATTTAAGCACCAGTGTCAATCTTGTGTCTCACGGGTGATGGACTGGACTGTTTAATAGAAAATAAGTCCTAAATTCTGAATTTATCCTTTAAATCAAAGTTTTGAGAGAGTATAAATCATTGTGTTTGTTCTTATTTCATGTACTTCCTTGAATAAACTGAATGTCCTAGATATAAGTATTAAAAGTTTCACCATTGTCATCGGTAAAATGTCCTAGATATAAGTAGTAAAAGTTTCACCATTGTTATTGGTAAAATGTCCTAGATATAAGTAGTAAAAGTTTCACCATTGTTATTGGTAAAATGTCCTAGATATAAGTAGTAAAAGTTTCACCATTGTTATTGGTAAAATGTCCTAGATATAAGCTTAAGTGTTTAAAGTTTCACCATTGTTATTGGTAAAATGTTTGCAGTAAAATGCTTCAACAATAATTTTGTTTTTCAGCAACCAGCACCAACAGCAAAGCCAGAAAATTCAACAGGGGCCTCTACTCCAGAGGACGAGGATGATGATGAGGCACCACCACCTATAGCAACACGACCTGATAAAACTAAATCTATTGTAAGTTTGGAATATGTATAAAAAAAAGAGGATGTGGTATGAATTTCAATGAGACAACTCTCCACAGGAGAACATATGACATAGAAATTAGCAACTATAGCATTCAACAATAAGGAAAACCCATACTGCATAGCAAGCTACAAGAGGCCCAGAAAGGAAAAATGTAAAACAATTCAAAAGAGAAAATACCTGTTTTGTAAGCTACAATATTCTGATAAAACTTAATCATGTTAAAACTAAATTTAGTCAATATGAAAATACCAGTTCTGAGAAGGAATTTTCTTTGTCTAGCATATCAGGAAATTTTACTGTCACAACATGTATTTTTCGCTAATTATGCCTACTGAACATCATATATCTGTTGAAAACACCACATTGTAATTTTGATCTTATCAATGTTTTTCTTGTAGTATACAAAACCTGTGGAGATGGAAGAGAAAACAAATGGAGCAATCTCAAAAAATGATAAACCAAAGAAAAAGAAAATGACAGATGAAGAAATAATAGAAAAATTACGAACCATAGTGACAATCGGAGACCCCAATAGGAAATATACTAAAATGGAAAAAATTGGCCAAGGGTAAGATCACATCGTAATTCCCCATTTCAGAATCTAATGCATTCCAGGTAATAGTTTCAAAAGCGTACACCAAAATGTTGGGATGGCTAACAACGTCCTCAATGATAGAAATTCAACTTATATATAATCATGATGTTGTTTTCTTTTTGCCGAGCCTTCGACTTTAGTCGAAAAAGCGAGACATAGCGATCCTACATTCCGTCGGCGTTGTAGTCGTTGGCGTCCACAAATATTCACTCTGTGGTTAAAGTTTTTGAAATTTTAATAACTTTCTTAAACTATCCTGGATTTCTACCAAACTTGGACAGAAGCTTGTTTATGATCATAAGATAGTATCCAGAAGTAAATTTTGTAAAAATAAAATTCCATTTTTTCCATATTTTACTTATAAATGGACTTAGTTTTTCTGCCGGGAAATATTACATTCACTCTGTGGTTAAAGTTTTTAAAATTTTAATAACTTTCTTAAACTATCCTGGGTTTGTACCAAACTTGGACAGAAGCTTGTTTATGATCCTAAGATAGTATCTAGAAGTAAATTTTGTAAAAAAATAAATCCATTTTTTCCTTATTTTACTTTTAAATGGACTTAGATTTTCTGCCAGGAAACAACATATTTACTCTGTGGTTAAAGTTTTTAAAATTTTAATAACTTTCTTATACTATTTTGGATTTGTACCAAACTTGGACAGAAGCTTGCTTATGATCAAAAGCTAGTATCTAGAAGGAAATTTTGTAAAAAAATAAATCCATTTTTTCCGTATTTTACTTTTAAATGGACTTAGATTTTCTGCCAGGAAACAACATATTCACTCGGTGGTTAAAGTTTTTAAAATTTTAATAACTTTCTTATACTATTTTGGATTTGAACCAAACTTGGACAGAAGCTTGTTTATGATCAAATGCTAGTATCTAGAAGGAAGTTTTGTTTTCTTCCAGTTAACATTACATTCAGTCTGCAGTTAAAGTTTTTAAACATTTATTAGATTCATAAACTCTCCTGGATTTTTACCAAACTTGGACAGAAGCTTCTTACAATCAGAAGATAGTATCAAGAGGAATATTTTTATTGATTTACTACCTCATTTTTGTTGAGCCTGTGATTGACAGAAAAGTAGGCGAGACACTGGGTTCCGCCGAACCCTTACGAATTTTTAATACAAACAATGAAATTACTCATACTCCTTTCATACTGCCTCGGTTGGTCTCGTGGTAGCGTGTTCGCCTTGAGTGCTGGAGGTCGAGGGTTTGAATATGTCCTGAATATGCATATTAGTTTGCCACTGGACGTTAAGCAGACATTCATCATCATCTTCATACAAATCGGTAATTTTGATTGGCTGACACCAATCGTGATGCACTTTGATATCATATTTTATTTCCGTATAGAATACAACAGCTATGACTGCACATCCTATCCATGACAATGTTAAAATAATGCATTGAAAAACAAACCAAAAGCTTGATATAACTCTTAATTTCATGGTTGTATCATAAAAATTAAATTATAAGATGTGAATGCTTCTTTTTATAATTTTATAGGGTTGTAAAAGCTTTGCATCGAGTGCACATTTTGGATATGAAACGCTTCCTAGCTTCAAACAAAATGTGCTTTGGACAATGCTTTTTAACTCCAATAAAATTATAAAAAGAAGCATTCAATTCTTAAATACAAATGGAAACTAGGACTTGACTATTTTATTAGCCCTATATCAACACGAAAGAAGATGCTGTTGTCATAGAAATGACTGATTATCAATGAAATTTGTATGTTAATTACTTATCACAATATAATATCAAGGGTATCTTTTCTTTTAACAAGAACTTATTTATTGCTAGTTTTAGTAAGTGAAGTTAGTACAATATCGGGAACTTTTACTTAATATTTCAGAGCTTCAGGAACTGTATTTATTGCTATGGAGGTTGCCACAGGTCGTGAAGTTGCAATAAAGACAATGAACTTATCTCAACAACCCAAAAAGGAACTTATAATTAATGAAATTCTAGTGATGCGAGAAAATCAAAATCCTAATATTGTTAATTACCTGGATTCTTATTTACTAAATAATGTTGGGGGAGAGGAATTGTGGGTAAGTAGTTCTATTTATAGACATGATTTTTGTTTTATCAGGTATAGAAACACATAATAGAAAAAATGATCTACAATAGGGAATACATAAAAGACAAGGATAAAACTGAATGGTACCATTTTTATATAATTAATGATATCCATCTTTTTAAATTAATCTTTGTTCCATTGGAGTAATGCAGAACCAAATGAAAACAGAAGTAAATGAAATGTTTTATAGTTAAGGGAATTTCAAATACAATTCAAAAGTTTCCATGTATTAGGACTAATAGGTGTGCATAAAGAACGAAAATAACAACTACACAGGATAAAAATATTGTTAGTATGGTAGAATGCCTAATACTGTTATTTACAGGATGACAAATATTCTGTGGTCACTCATACACAAACTATTCCAAATCCGAAATATATTAAAATATACTATTAAAGAAAGCAAGGAATCAAAAGTTTAAGTAATGTTCATAACCTAATATAATTTCTGAAGAACATTTTTTTTCCATACAAACATGATTTTTTGTCAAATTTGAATGAACAGATGATTTGCTTGCTAACTTTAAGATATAAATCAGTAATCTGTCACACAGGTTTACACATCTAAATAATTCTAATGCTTCAGAAACAGTATCTACGGAAACCAGGAATGTACACATCAAATGCTTCTGATCTTCAAGTTGTATTATTTCATTGAAAATATTTGATTATTAATTATAGGTAGTTATGGAATATTTAGCTGGTGGGTCTTTAACAGATGTAGTTACAGAAACTTGTATGGATGAAGGTCAGATAGCAGCTGTCATAAGAGAGGTAAGATAAAGTGTTTGGAGAGGATGGCTGGGGGCTTTTATCTTGAGGGTCTTTATGTGATAGCTATGTATTAATGATAGTCAGCTACATGTTGTTATAAGAGAGGAATTATATATCACCCTATCTAAAAAAAGAGGATGGTTGGGGGGGGGGGGCTCTTTATCTGTAGGGTCTTTATGTGATAGCTATGAATTAATGAAAGTCAGCTGCATGTTGTTATAAGAGAGGAATTAGATATCACCCTATCTAAGGTTACTTTGATCTCGCGTTCATATAGAGATCTGTCAAAAGTATGAAATGAAGAAGAGAAATCAAGGGGAAAATATTAGTAATTAATTGAACATAGTGAAACAGAAAGTCATTAAAAAACTGCATACCGGTATATAGATTTAATAACAGTAATCAGGAAAATAAGAGGTGGAATAAGATAAGAGACAGTGGATTTGAGGGAAGATTATTTTTGCATGAATTCAAAACATCAAAAGTTTAAGTTTTTTTTTCTGAAGGAAAAGATGCACTCAGCCTTCCCCTCCACCAAACAACAGAAAAAAGAATTAATTTTTAATTATTAAACTTTAAACCATCAGATTTTGCAATATTACGTCTCCTACAATAGACAAATGTTTTTACAATATATCAGGCAGCTACTTGTTTGACATATAAAATAGAATACTGTGGATTCATTTATTTTTTATGGTACCAATTTTCGTGGATTAAGGAACAATTCTATTTTCATGGATATTGGATTTTTGGTTTTGCAAAAGTCTACATACAAGCCTATAGAAAATTTATACTTTACAGTTGATTATTTGATTATGTGGTTTACCTGTACCTAGCAAATCTACAAATATTGGTACACCACGAAATATAGTGTATCCACAGTATATTGCATGTGTAGATACTAGACAGAATGGTATTTTAAGTAACCAATACCTATACCCTTAACGTTTATAAATAAAAGCAACAGTATTATACCGCTGTTCAAAAGTCATAAATCAATTAAGCAAAAACAAATCTGGGTTACAAACTAAAACCAAGGGAAACACATCAACTATAAGAGGAAAACAACAGAACAACAGAAATACTGAACTGCAACAAAACCAAACACCAACATACATAGAAACAGACTATTTGATAACAACTGCAATATTTCTGACTTGGTACAGGACATTTTAAGAAAAAATGGTGGGTTGAACCTGGTTTAATGGCTAGCTAAACCTCCCGCTTATATGGCAATTTTTAAAAAATATCGATCACCTGTAAAAATGAATGCCTCAAAATGACTTTTTCAGTGTTTACATGCATTAGAATTTCTCTGTATGAATGAATGACTTTTATGACTTTTTCAGTGTTTACATGCATTAGAATTTCTCTGTATGAATAAATGACTTTAATGACTTTTTCAGTGTTTACATGCATTAGAATTTCTCCATGAGAACCAGGTGATCCACAGAGATATAAAAAGTGATAATATACTTTTAGGAATGGATGGTAGTGTCAAATTAAGTAAGTTATTATAAATCCATTAGGAAGTATAGATATTACTTACTATAAATCCATTAGGAGGTATAGATATTACTTATTATAAATCCATTAGGACGTATAGATATTACTTGCTGTAAATCCATTAGGAGGTATAGATATTACTTATTATAAATCCATTAGGAGGTATAGATATTACTTTCTATAAATCCATCAGGAGGTATAGATATTACTTATTAGTCCCCTACCGACGAAGTCGAAGGGTACTTTAGGATTGCACTCTGTCCGTCTGTCTGTCCATCCGTCTGTCCATCCGTCAGTCCGGCAACTCAGCTTTCCACACTTTTTTTCTTCGTTCTTCGTTCTTGAAGATATTGATTTGATATTTGGTATATAGTTTTATCATGACAAGTTATAGATCAAGTTCAAATTATGTTCCGGTCTGATGATTTAGACCAGAGTTATGGTCCATAAAAAAACTCCATAACTAATGTTAGAGTACTATGTTAAACCATATAATCTGTACAAAGGGAGATAACTCATTTTTTAAAAGACATTCTTTGGTAAATTTTGTGGCAGGTTTATATGTTATTTTGTATAAACTAATTTTCTGAATGCTACATATATATATCTATATTTTTTTTATTAAGGTATATATTTCATTACATTACATTGTGTAGATAAAAGTTGTTGACATTTTATAGATAAGTTACAAATCTATATTAGTTTGTAACAAATGAAAGAAAAAATATTTGGAACTATTAATTATATTTGATTGTAATTTGAAAATAGATATACATTGTAATCCATTAGGTGGTATAGATCTTATTTACTATAAATCCATCAGGAGGTATAGATATTACTTACTATAAATCCTTTAGGTGGTATAGATCATACTTACTATAAATCCATTAGGAGGTATAGATCTTACTTTAGAATAACATATACATTCAGATAGTATTCTTATATATTTACGAAGTATAGAAGAAGTTTAACCTCAGTACACATTATATGCCTCTTCACAATTTTTATATAGCTATTTTCTTAAATTTTGCTTAGATCTATTTGTGCGATAATTTTCCATCTCAAGTGACTCGACATTACATATTGAAAGTAATTTCTTCTTTAGTTTCATAAGCAATTTAGCAAAAGACATGTGGACTAAAAAAAAAGCAATTATAGTAATCCAAGATAGACGCTCTTGTATTATACTTCAAAGAATAATCTTAATTAATATTTTTGTCTTTTCACAGCTGATTTCGGTTTTTGTGCTCAATTGTCTCCTGAACAAAACAAACGATCAACTATGGTAGGAACACCTTATTGGATGGCACCTGAAGTTGTCACAAGGTAAGATATCGTAAATGTCTGAAACCTCTTAGATAACAGAACATATTTACGATTTTTATGCCCCCGCCCTAGCAAATTATAACAAATTTGGGTAGCGTCACTTTTACCGTTCTTCAGTTATGTCCCTTTATAACTTTATATGATATGCAAGTGGGAGCATCATCTGTGTCCCATGGACACATTCCCCAACTATTGTTTTTGTACATGAACAACATTCATTGCTAGTATCAAGATATTAATAGTATTTTATTTAAGTTGTTCATCAAACACAATCTTTTAAGTCTGTGCTTATTTTAATTTCTTTTATAGAAAACAGTATGGTCCAAAAGTAGATGTATGGAGTTTAGGGATCATGGCCATAGAAATGATTGAAGGGGAACCTCCCTATTTAAATGAGAATCCTCTTAGAGTAAGTAGTAACAAGAATTATAATAAAATAAACTAAACGCATTTAACAGAGTTAGAAAAATGAACTGCCTTAAATGCATCAAATAAATGTAAAAATTTACCACATTATGGCCATACGGTGACCTATAGTTGTTAATTTCTTTGTCATTTGGTCTCTTGTGGAGAGTTGTCTGATTGGCAATTATACCACATCTTCTTATTTTTATATGTTGATACAGGGTTTGCACTGTAAGGTGTGACAATTGGAAATTTACATTTTTTGTTTGTTTCACCTGACAACTAAATGCTGCTGCTTGTGCCAACATTTTAAATAAATTGATCAAAAGACTATAAATCAGAAAATGTTCTTCTTGAAATACTCAAAGGTATTTAGACTTGGATGCTCAATGCCCTCTTGATAAAAGGAGATTTAGGGTATATATTAAAAAGTGAATTGAATTATGCCTAATATTTCTTTCAACTTTTCTGGTTTACCTGAGGCATGATTTTTGGTTTGACAATTACAGATCAGAATAATAATCAGAAACATCTGAAGGTTTCTTTTCAGAAATATTTGTATAGGATTGTTCAACAGCATTTCAAATCAAAATTCAATGGGATGTTGTTTCTGATGATTTTGAACTAAGGGAAATAATCCATTAACTTAAATATATGATGCAACAAATAAAAGGGCTTTTAACCTCTTTCTTTCTATTTTATAATATACTATATTAAGATACTTTGAAGGAATAATTCGATATTTGACTAAGAACTTAATAAGTTTGAGTTGTATGGGGTATTAAGTGATTTTTAGATCTGCCAGGTAGTCACCTTGGTCACTTCCTGTCTGATTATATTTTAAAATTTTTATTATCAATGTCTAAAAACATGTTAGGATATGCTTTGCACAACATCACATGCAAGTCCTTCTTTATTTCTGTTACAAATTTTACACAAAATACATACTATAAATATATATGTATAAGATAATTTACATGTTTTGTGTTACACAAAATACATCCTATAAATATATATGTATAAGATAATTTACATGTTTTGTGTTACACAAAATACATACTATAAATATATAAGTATAAGATAATTTACATGTTTTGTGTTACACAAAATACATACTATAAATATATATGTATAAGATAATTTGCATGTTTTGTGTTACACAAAATACATACTATAAATATATATGTATATGCTTAAGATAATTAGCATATTTTGTATTTTAGGTGTTGAGATAATTAGCATATTTTGTGTTTTAGGTGTTGAGATAATTAGCATGTTTTGTATTTTAGGTGTTGAGATAATTAGCATATTTTGTATTTTAGGTGTTGAGATAATTAGCATATTTTGTATTTTAGGTGTTGAGATAATTAGCATGTTTTGTATTTTAGGCGTTGAGATAATTAGCGTATTTTGTATTTTAGGTGTTGAGATAATGAGCATATTTTGTATTTTAGGTGTTGAGATAATTAGCGTATTTTGTATTTTAGGTGTTGAGATAATTAGCGTATTTTGTATTTTAGGTGTTGAGATAATTAGCGTATTTTGTATTTTAGGTGTTGAGATAATTAGCGTATTTTGTATTTTAGGTGTTGAGATAATTAGCATGTTTTGTATTTTAGGTGTTGAGATAAGTAGCATGTTTTGTATTTTAGGTGTTGAGATAATTAGCCTGTTTTGTATTTTAGGTGTTGAGATAATTAGCCTGTTTTGTATTTTAGGTGTTGAGATAATTAGCGTTTTTTGTATTTTAGGTGTTGAGATAATTAGCGTATTTTGTATTTTAGGTGTTGAGATAATTAGCTTATTTTGTATTTTAGGTGTTGAGATAATTAGCATGTTTTGTATTTTAGGCTTTATATTTAATTGCCACTAATGGTAAACCAGACATAAAAGAAAAACATAAACTATCTCCTGTGTTCCAAGACTTCCTAGATAAATGTCTTGAGGTGGATGTAGACAAACGTTGTTGTGCCTCTGATCTCTTAAAGGTTTGTAAGATTTCTAGAACCATGCACATCACTAACAGACTATATTAATTACTGCTCATAATATGAAAATAAAGGAGATTGGTATGATTGCCGATGAGACAACTCTCCACCAGAGTTCAGATGAATGGATGTAAGCAATTATAGGCCAGGGAAAAACCCATGCTGCGTAGTCGGCTATTTAAGGCCTGGACAGGAAAAATATGAAACAATTTAAATGAGAAAACTAACGTCCTAATTTATAACAAAAAATTTACAAAAAAACAAATATGCCAGACAGGAACCAAGGAAAACCACTGAACTACAGACTCCTTACTTGTAACCATGTTTTTGAATGCTCAACCCTACCCTAACCTGGGCCGGTGGTGGAACTGAACAATGTAAGAACAAACTGTAAAAACTAGCTGAAAATTTAATCTGGTAGAAGTTCTAAAAATACTTAATGTAACTATCTGTATGAAACCACAATCTTCCTTCATACGGTTGATTTTGTCATTCAAACTGAAATCTAAATATGAAGAGAGAGGTTTATGCCTTAAAAATTGAATTTTAGCTTAAAAAAGTGTAACTTTATATTTGTTGTGAGTTTTATTTACACAGTTTAAAATGCCAGTTCATAGTTAATACTACTTTAGCAAGAAGTAAAAAGATTACGACATTAAGGAATGTTTTATAAGTAATTGTTATGCATAACTGGAAGGAACCTTATATTTTGGCTCACATACACAAAATTTGAATATTTTCTTGTCTGAAGTGAGACATTTATAACATACGCATCACATAGTATATGAATTAATACTTAATCATCCTGATGTAATTGTTCCTTAGCAAATACTTTTTTTAGAATTGATGAGTTGTTTTTTTTTTTTTTTTTACTATAATGTTTTCTTTGTTTTTTTCAGCATCCCTTTTTACGACTAGCAAAACCATTAGCCAATTTACAACCGTTAATTTTAGCTGCTAAAGAAGCTCAAAAGGGGCATTAACACATATTTTACATATAAAGGTAAATTACTTATATTAGAAGTGCAATATTAGGGAGTGGTTTATTGTGGTAATACAATTTCACGTTAAATATTGTAGGGGTTTAAAGGGGCATTAGCTGTCAAATTCATGTTCACTGATTTGACTCAAATTCTCATATTTGATTTATAACATACTAAAACATATATCCAAATTACAAAAAGTTTAAAATAAACAAATAGCAGTGCATGAACTCGATAATATTTCGTGTATATTTTTGTCTAGACGTCATCTAATTAACCATCAAGTTGACCTTCGAAGACTGCTGACGGTCATTTAACCCGATATTAATATGAATATAAATAGATAGTGACCACGTGCAATTGGATTTATCTAGGTCTGTTTGATTTCATATTGTAAAAGTATGTTTATCATCGTTTTTACCTGTATAAGAATGATTTTGATGTGAATCTAATCAATTAACCAAATGGTTCATCCTTGTTTCACTTTCAATGTTGACATTCTTTTCCTTTTAACAGCTGAATACATGTGTAACCCATCTCCTTCAATCCTTTAATTTTTGTTTCCCTTTCTCTAGCTTACTTTTCTTGGTTATATTTCCTTCTATGTTCTCCAGGATGCTCTATCATTGATTGGTTATATTTCCTTCTAAGTTCTCCAGGATGCTCTATCATTGATTGGTTATATTTCCTTCTAAGTTCACCAGGATGCTCTATCATTGATTGGTTATATTTCCTTCTAAGTTCTCCAGGATGCTCTATCATTGATTGGTTATATTTCCTTCTAAGTTCTCCAGGATGCTCTTTCATTGATTGGTTATATTCCCTTCTAAGTTCTCCAGGATGCTCTATCATTGATTGGTTATATTTCCCTAAGATCTCCAGGATGATAGTATCATTGATTGCTTATATTCCCCTAAGATCTCCAGGATGCTCTATCATTGATTGGTTATATTTCCTTCTAAGTTCTCAAGGATGCTCTATCATTGATTGGTTATATTCCCTTCTAAGTTCTCCAGGATTTTTATCATTGATTGGTTATATTCCCTTCTAAGTTCTCCAGGATGCTCTATCATTGATTGGTTATATTTCCTTCTAAGTTCACCAGGATGCTCTATCATTGATTGGTTATATTTCCTTCTAAGTTCTCCAGGATGCTCTATCATTGATTGGTTATATTTCCTTCTAAGTTCTCAAGGATGCTCTATCATTGATTGGTTATATTTCCCTAAGATCTCCAGGATGATAGTATCATTGATTGCTTATATTCCCCTAAGATCTCCAGGATGCTCTATCATTGATTGGTTATATTTCCTTCTAAGTTCTCAAGGATGCTCTATCATTGATTGGTTATATTCCCTTCTAAGTTCTCCAGGATGCTCTATCATTGATTGGTTATATTTCCTTCGAAGTTCTCCAGGATGCTCTATCATTGATTGGTTATATTCCCTTCTAAGTTCTCCAGGATGCTCTATTATTGATTGGATATATCTAAGTTCTCCAGGATGCTCTATCATTGATTGGCTTCTAAGTTCTCCAGGATGCTCTATCATTGATTGGTTATATCTAAGTTCTCCAGGATGCTCTATCATTGATTGGCTTCTAAGTTCTCCAGGATGCTCTATCATTGATTGGCTTCTAAGTTCTCCAGGATGCTCTATCATTGATTGGCTTCTAAGTTCTCCAGGATGCTCTATCATTGATTGGCTTCTAAGTTCTCCAGGATGCTCTATCATTGATTGGTTATATCTAAGTTCTCCAGGATGCTCTATCATTGATTGGATTCTAAGTTCTCCAGGATTCTCCATCATTGATTGTTTGTAGTTATTAGAAGATCCTATATTTATTTATTACTGTCACATTTTCACTATGTATCTGCATGCAATGCAATGTTACTATTTTTCTGGAACTACAACTGATAACTTCTAGTCATGTTTTCCTTGTTTTAAAGTGAGACCAATACATGTATCGTTTTCCTTCTGTTTTAAAGTGAGACCAATACATGTATCATTTACCTTCTGTTTTAAAGTGAGACCAACACATGTATCATTTTCCTTCTGTTTTAAAGTGAGACCAATACATGTATCGTTTGCCTTGTTTTAAAGTGAGACCAATACATGTATCATTTACCTTCTGTTTTAAAGTGAGACCAATACATGTATCATTTTCAATCTGTTTTAAAGTGAGACCAATACATGTATCGTTTTCCTTGTTTTAAAGTGAGACCAATACATGTATCATTTACATTCTGTTGTAAAGTGAGACAAATACATGTATCGTTTTCCTTGTTTTAAAGTGAGACCAATACATGTATCGTTTGCCTTGTTTTAAAGTGAGACCAACACATGTATCATTTACATTCTGTTTTAAAGTGAGACCAATACATGTATCATTTTCCATCTGTTTTAAAGTGAGACAAATACATGTATCGTTTTCCTTGTTTTAAAGTGAGACCAACACATGTATCATTTACATTCTGTTTTAAAGTGAGACAAATACATGTATCGTTTTCCTTGTTTTAAAGTGAGACCAATACATGTATCGTTTGCCTTGTTTTAAAGTGAGACCAATACATGTATCATTTACCTTCTGTTTTAAAGTTTGACCAATACATGTATCATTTTCCATCTGTTTTAAAGTGAGACCAATACATGTATCATTTTCCATCTGTTTTAAAGTGAGACCAATACATGTTTCATTTCCCTTCTGTTTAAAGTGAGACCAATACATGTATTGTTTTCCTTGTTTTAAAGTGAGACCAATACATGTATCGTTTTCCTTCTGTTTTAAAGTGAGACCAATACATGTATCATTTACCTTCTGTTTTAAAGTGAGACCAACACATGTATCATTTTCCTTCTGTTTTAAAGTGAGACCAATACATGTATCGTTTTCCTTGTTTTAAAGTGAGACCAATACATGTATCATTTACCTTCTGTTTTAAAGTGAGACCAGCACATGTATCATTTTCCTTCTGTTTTAAAGTGAGACCAATACATGTATCGTTTTCCTTGTTTTAAAGTGAGACCAATACATGTATCATTTACCTTCTGTTTTAAAGTGAGACCAACACATGTATCATTTTCCTTCTGTTTTAAAGTGAGACCAATACATGTATCATTTTCCATCTGTTTTAAAGTGAGACCAATACATGTTTCATTTCCCTTCTGTTTAAAGTGAGACCAATACATGTATTGTTTTCCTTGTTTTAAAGTGAGACCAATACATGTATCGTTTTCCTTCTGTTTTAAAGTGAGACCAATACATGTATCATTTACCTTCTGTTTTAAAGTGAGACCAACACATGTATCATTTTCCTTCTGTTTTAAAGTGAGACCAATACATGTATCATTTTCCATCTGTTTTAAAGTGAGACCAATACATGTAGCATTTACCTTCTGTTTTAAAGTGAGACCAATACATATATCATTTTCCTTCTGTTTTAAAGTGAGACCAATACATGTATCATTTACCTTCTGTTTTAAAGTGAGACCAATACATGTATCATTTTCCATCTGTTTTAAAGTGAGACCAATACATGTATCATTTACCTTCTGTTTTAAAGTGAGACCAATACATATATCATTTACCTTCTGTTTTAAAGTGAGACCAATACATATATCATTTTCCATCTGTTTTAAAGTGAGACCAATACATGTATCATTTCCCTTCTATTTTTAAGTGAGACCAAGGAACAGTAGCTTAGTGAATCTTGATCTCAAAATTTTGAAACTAAAAATGTGATCATCAAATAAAACATATGATATAAGATAATGAACAAATTCAGTCAGGACTGAAACAGTAAGATGAACCTACATTCAGTATTTCATTTCTATTCAGTATACAAGCAGTATTTGCCTTTAGATGCATGTTGTTTTTGATATAATTCTTAGATTTTATTTTATTTTGTAGATTGGTCAACCCAATACAAATTGCAATCAGAACAATCAGGAAAATTTAATCAGTAATTTGGTAATTATACCAAAAGACTGTGAATCGACATCAGACATGGAAATGAGAAAACTGATTTAGATTTTGAGGACAGAAGACAAAGAATTTTTATGTAATGTTGTATGTTACAGATCAATTTGTATGCAAGAAGTAAGATGTTGAAGGTCAAATGGTAATGCTGGTCATAGGTCTTATTGTGATACGTAGAAATGTATTACTGTTATTTCTGTTTACTTGGTTTATGGATCAAGAGAAAGATTACTTATCTTTATATTTTGTATGTCACATTTTTATTCACAATAAACCATCTGAGTGTCTAAAATTTTTTTACCTTTACAGAAAATGCAGTTTACTTGGGTAAAATGAATTCATCTTTAAAAAACTTCTTTAATCCATTATATTTTAACCTTTATTTTTGTTAGTTGTAAAAAAGGTTCATTTGTAGACTTTTCTCAGAAATAGGCTTCTCTCCACAATTAAGTGAAAATCCTTGCTAATAAAATTGTTTATGTTTATTATTTAGTCAGTTATTTTCTCTTTCTATGATAGAATATACAACAGTTTTGACATATTATCAGTTTTCTCTTTCTATGATAGAATAAACACTAATACAGTTTTAATTACAATGTGAATTTCAATTTCAAAATTTTAATATTATCTTCAAAATGATCACTTGAATTTCAAACTAGTGCTTAAAGTGTTGGTGCTAATATAAAATGTCAAAAAGGAGTACATGTGCCTAGATATAAAAAACTGAAGTGAATACATAACACCTTATATTTACATGTGATATGATGTCTCTAAATATTTCAATCAAGTTTCCTTCTGGTTTTTATCTTACGATTGTAAATGTATTGTATTTAAGACCAGTTTCTTTTGTCTGAATGCAAGCATAATAATAAAATTCCTTATTTGTTCATTTTTGGTGAACTTGTCTTGTTTGATTGCTGTCTCGTCAATGTTTCCCCCCACATCTTTTTTTCACACATTTCAATAATGTTATCTTTCTTATATCATTTTGGTAAATTCATTTTTTGCCTCGCTGTCTCAGTGACTTCCATGTAATAAAACTTAAATAAGTGAAAAGGAAATTGTTCTCTGAAATACATGTTTACAGAATGGAATAGATATTTTATCTGAACCTTTCTCAAAGTACTTCCAAGAAATTTATGTATTATCAAGTTTTTACTGAGATGTGATTTTAACAGACAAAGGGAGATAATCTATTATTTAAATAAAATTTATAAGGATATGTTCTACCAAAATTCATATTTTTTAAATTATGGAAATTCTTATCTGTAATTTTAATTTACACAGAGTTAATTAACATAATAATCTTGGAAATGTAATTATATCTTATACAGTGTTTTTATGTTGTAACACTTGCATTCATTTCCACTCTTTAAATAACATAATGGTTTTCAAAAATTATATCTTTTGTAAAGAAATTAAAAATCTGAAATTTTTGTTCTGTAATAAAGATGAGCATTCTTATCAGATAACAGTATTTAAATGCATACCACTTCCTCTGTTCACACATTTCATCAATCTCATATCAGTAAAAATGTTGTTACTGACTGAGAAACTACATTGTACATTTATAAGTGTATGTTTGACAAGATTCAGTATTTTATAAATGTATGGTTGACAAGGTTTACTAATGTATGGTTTAACAGATCTTACATGTTCATATTGAATCATGTATTGTGCAGATCTTCCATTTATCAATTATGCAAGTACATCAGGCTTTATATAATTTCATTTTCATCAGTATCATATTTCATGGTTTGTCTGTAGAACAACATCATTCATTCTTGTGTGACATTGTAATTACATTGATCATTCATGTGTGACAATGTATTACATTGATCATTCTTGTGTGACATTGTATTACATTGATCATTCATGTGTGACATTGTATTACATTGATCATTCTTGTGTGACATTGTATTACATTGATCATTCATGTGTGACATTGTATTACATTGATCATTCATGTGTGACATTGTATTACATTGATCATTCTTGTATTACATTTTATTACTTTGTATTACATTGTATTACATTGATCATTCTTGTATTACATTTTATTACATTGTATTACATTGATCATTCTTGTATTACATTGCATTACATTTGTATTACATTGATCATTCTTGTATTACATTGAACATTCACAAAATATTGCACAATGTTTAATGTGAATTAGTGGCTTAATGTGACAGTCTGATAGGGTTTAAATTTAGTGCTTTGGTGTATTTGAGCCTTGCAGGATATTAAGATGACAAAACTAGGGTTGTTTAAGAAATTGAGAAAAAATGACAGAATATTACCCTGTGTAATCTTGGTTATTTCCCAAATTGGTGTAATGTTGTCATGAGAACAGTTATTTTTTAGTGACATAAGAAAAATTAAGAAAATTTTGTTCTTTCCTATAATAAAATATAAATGGAAAGTTTGTGTAAAGCAGTATGGTTCATTAATAAAAAATCTAATATTTTGAACAGTGTGATTATTGAAGATGGTGCTACATATTTGAAGTGTGTCAATTATAAAAGAAAGAAAATATAATTTTCATTTGTATTCATCAGTTAAAAAACTAGATTTTAATGTGAAGTTATGTTTGAGCAAATTTGATGTAAGAATACTTTGTTACTGAGTAGTAAGAACATTGTTATTCATAGAACATTCTATGTAATATATTATTACATACTGTACATGTATTTACATGCTTTATTTCCAATTTAACCATATGTTTTGCTCAATTGATATGAGAGTCTACCTTTCTAACACCAAAGGTAGTGTTTGGAATAAAAATGGCATGATTCAGTCAACCAACTGACATGGCCACTATCACAGATGATGCAGTTTTTAGGACCAGTTTTTCTACAGTTAAGGCTTAGTTGGACTAAACGTGAAAACCTTAAGGTCCATATTCCAAATCAGAAAGAACATTAGGTCTCGAGACCTCAATGAACTTAACAATGATGCAGTCTTCACTGTTAATAGAAATTAAATGAAAATATTATTGGAATAATATATCTGCTCGGTTTCGAAGGAAATTTTAGTTATAGTTTTCCAAATTTACATCAGAAAATACCTAAAATCAATGATGACTGTTATATTCCAATATTGAAGGGAAAAAATATGGTAATAAAAAATACACTCATCCACACTCAAAGACCCTGTATATTGCCATAAACAAATCAATTTGGCAGTACATTTTTAGTTTGAAATTAGAATTCAAATATGTATAAAAATGTGACTTTTTTTTAAATTAAGAACAAAGACAGCTATGGACATTTGCTGTTATATTGGCTGAGTATGAAACAAAAGAATCTTTGATATGCTAATTGATATATGTTTATGGAGAAATACACAACTTTCATAAAAATTAGCTTTATAAGAAGCTACAATAACTGTGTGAAAAAATTAACCATTTTATTAAAGTATGCAAATTTTGTTTGTTAGCAAAGTAATATGTATATGTTGGTTACACTTTAAAAGTGTATCTAGGTTACATGTAGTAGCTTTAATTGTTTTTATATAATGAGTAATGAATAAAAATATTGACATCTAACAGTTTGTGTTTATTTTCTGTAAATGTAATCCTTCTCTGATATTCCTCGATGAAGCGATATTTTAATGAGTTTATAACCAGCAAACTAGGTGAAAAATATTTAAAAATTATATTCTATAAAGGACATAAAATGATGGAACCAACTGAAAAAAGGGTAAGACACGAACAATTATACAACCAGTTACAAAAGTCAATGGCATTGTGTACAACATTATGGTTTTTATCTCACCTGGCCCATTGGGCCATGTAAGATTTTGCCATCACTTTGCATCCATCTTCCGCAAACTTTTCTCTAAATATCTTCTCATCTATAGGATGTCATAAATAAAGTTTGACATTTTTGTTCAGGTTGATCAACCAACTTTGCTGCCATGTCTGAAAATAGAACATAGGGGTCAAACAACAGTTTTGGCTTATATCTCTAAAATTATAGCAAATAGGGAAAAACTGACAGGGTAAAAAAGGTCAGCACAACAATTTCTATCTACCTTGAAAATTAAGAAAAATATGTCCACCTGTTTTTGGAGTTATTGCCCTTAGAATGTAGATTTTTATAGTTTTTGGCATTTCATTTGCCATTGTTTCAAACTAAAGGCTCAGCATGACCAGATGTATTTACTCTGAAAATTGGAGAAAAATCTGTTGAAGTATTTTGGAGTTATTGCCCCTGAAATATTCATTATTCTGCAGTTTTTATACCACTGCAAAAAAATTTTGAGGTCGTATATTGGTATGACGTTGGCGTCGTCGTCGTCCGAAGACACATTGGTTTTCGCACTCTAACTTTAGTTTAAGTGAATGGATCTCTATGAAATTTTACCATAAAGTTTAATACCACAAAAGGAAGGTGGGTGGATTTTGGGGGTTATGGTACCAAGAGTTTAGGAATTAGGGGCCAAAAAGGGGCCTAAAATAAGCATTTTTGTAACTTCCAGACATAACTTGTGTGTTAGTGTATGGATCTCTCTGACATTGTACCACAAGGTTCCATATCACAAAGGGAATGCTGGGATTGATTTTGGGGGTAATTGCCTCCAAATTTTAGGAATTAGGGGCCAAAAAGGAGCAAAAAACATTCATTTTTCTAGTTTCATGACAATAACTTGTGTGTAAGTGTATGGATCTCTCTGACATTGTACCACAAGGTTCCATATCACAAAGGGAATGCTGGGATTGAGTTTGGGGGTAATTGCCCAAAACGTTTAGGAATAAGGGGCCAAAAATAAGCATTTTTGGAAAATGACGCTATCAGCGGCATGTTTCCGATACCATTGACCAGAACTAACGGAAGTTGATTATGCCTCCGCATACCGCACTCGGTTTCATATTTACTATTTTACATACTAACTGGAATCTGCTTGTATTACCGGCATGTTTCCGATACCATTGACCAGAACTAACGGAAGTTGATTATGCCTCCGCATACCGCACTCGGTTTCATATTTACTATTTTACATACTAACTGGAATCTGCTTGTATTACGCTACACTCGAACAAAGTCTTTGTTAAAGTGTTGTAGTCGGACGGGAACCAGTTTACATACGTTATTTTATTTACCAAAAAGATATCTTGACCTGTCCATATGTTTTTTGTTATTAAATGGTATTTGGAGCTATCCCTTTGTTATATTTTTCATATTTATTCGAGCTTTCACTTTTATGCACATGTCTTACAATCGTAAACAATCGGTATGTATACATAATAAATAGATCCGTTTTGTTATGGTGTTGGACTTTTTACCCTCCAATGATCAGCAATCGCTAGACAAAATAGTTCTCCTAAATAATATCAGCCTTTCATGCCATTTCAACTTTACAATCATTAAAAAAGTAATAATCGGAATCATTTTGATATCCATTGGATAGAAACTGGTCTTTATCAAGATTTACGAAGATTTTAATAATCGGAAATTAGTAATACGGTTATACCCACGCGGTGCGTATGAATCTTTGTTCTCAAAGTTATAGCAGCAGAGTCTGTAACTGTATCATTATTAATTAACTACACTGTTATTGTACTTAAAATGATGAAAACTGCATATGCAATATAAGATGTCAACTCGGCCAATACAGATTTTTTTTCCGTATTGGCCGAGTTCTGATCCGGCTAAAACAGGATTTCGGAACGTCTCTAGTTTTTAGATCGTAAGTCACGATAAACTCAAACTGAAAGTAAACAGTTGTTTGTACGACGCAGTTTTTATTTACTCACCATAAACAAGCTGAAACGTTCAGTATGGCATATATTTTAGGTTAAAGACGGTCCCATTCATTTGAAAAGCATTTTGAAAGTAGACGATGGAAATATTTCAGGTTTAGGGAACGAGTAAATTATCACAAAGTTCATTTCTTGACGACCTCATAATTTAATCATGTCGATTTTTACTGTTCACTTTCGCTTCTCATGTTTTGTAAACGGTCTTTTATTTTTAAACCCGAAACCAGGCATATGCATTCTGTAATTGCGCAAATCTTCGTTCTTTGGTCAATTGGCTTATGGATAGTTGTATCAATTTCAACTCTTACATTATTTTTTTTTAAATATATTTGCATTACACATGCAATGGCAGTACCTTTCCAATTACTTTTTATGTGTTGTGTCTAAATTAAAGTTGTAACACTTTATAGTGACTGGAAAGGGTAGAAAAATTCATCAGATGAGAAAAGGCTGAAGATGCATGGAAACGGCACCAAATCATTAGATATTGCATCTTATAAAAAGAAACTGAGATTTGGATAGTTCCACTTCAAGGTAAAAATGTTTATCTCTTGTGAAATGAAATAAAAAAATATTGTAACACTGTAGTTAATTAATAAAGATACTATTACATGTATTTCTGTATTGGCCTTATTGTTGGTCCTCGGCCAGCAGTATTGGCCTTCGGCTTCGCCTCAGACCAATACACCAAGACATGGACCAATAACAAGGACAATACAGAAATACTTACGCAATAATATTATAGAATGACAGTATGGTTCAATAGCGGGAATCAGCCCCTCAACTACTTTTTACATAAATATTAACTTCTGGCTTCAACTCCTTGTTCGTCTTGTCTGGAGATCTTGTTGTAGTTCCAGTTAGGCAAGCATTTTAGAGACGTATCCCGTCCATCCTCTCTTGACTTGTAATTTCTGGTGATAGATTTTGCCGCTTGACGTTGTATCTTTTCAAGCTTGTTTTTTTTTTTTGTTACCGTGTAGGGGTCCCATACTATGGCTCCATATTAAATTGTAAGATCCATTCCTAAAGGTCTAGATCATTGTTCTAATCTGACACAAATTTCAATAACTGGAATGCTACCCGAGTTGAATATATGGTGACCTACTAGAACAGCATTATCACTATTGGAATTGTGTTTAATACCATGATTGTTCAATGTCATTAACTTAAATGGAGACAGACATTTGACCTGAAAGGTGGTGTGGGAGTGCAAAATCAAAAACTAACTGACTATGATATATGGTTAAAGAATGAATATCAATTACATGGGTCAACATGCATGGTCAAGGGCAGAGTTGTTATGAAATAACAATATGGCAGAGAAGTGGTTTCAAGTTTCATATAAAGCGACCCGACTGACATGAAATAAAAAATCAAAGGAGTATCCCTATTTGTCTAATCTTCAAGGTGAAATAAAACTAGTAAAACAATATTATACTATTGTCTAAATCTACAGAAATATAATTTGCTTCAAGTAACAGAAATAACTAGGTCACTAGTAACTTATTTAATGAGTATGTGGGGTATAAGAGCTTGATAACAACAGGCTCTTCATAATCATTTGGTTTGAAAAGGATACTAATAGTCTATATTCTTGATTTAGAAAAATGTAATTGCAAGACAAAAATCACATTACTTAGAATACTTTAGATCATTCAGGTAGTCTTTATTTATATGTACAAAAGAACAGCCAGTAGTCATTGGATATTGTAGATCATTCAAATAGTCTTGACCTATTTATTAGTACAAAAGAACAGCCAGTAGTCATTGGATATTGTAGATCATTGTGGTAGCCTTGACCTATTTATTTATAGAAAAAAACAGCCAGTAGTCATTGGATACTGTAGATCATTCAGGTAGTCTTGACCTATACATTTGTACTAAAAAAACAGCCAGTTGTCATCTTCACATAACACACACATATACGAATATCAATTATATGCTTATGAGACATGTTGGAATGTTAAACTAATTACGGTATGTGAAAATCAAGACTTGCATAAAAAATATCACAATATTAGAGACAGTGGCGTCATTTTTCCTCAGAGCTTTCAGCTCTTTGATTCTAGTTTCCAGACAATAACTTGTGATCAAGTGTATGGATCTCTCTGAAATTGTACTGCAAGGTACCATACCACAAAGGGAAGGCTGGGATTGATTTTGGGGGTAATTCCCTCAAAATTTTAGGAATTGGGGGCCATAAAAGGGCAAAAAAACAAGAATTTTTCTAGTTTCAGGACAATAACTTGTGTGTAAGTGTATGGATCTTTATGAAATTGTACTGCAAGGTTCCATATCACAAAGAGAAACCTGGGTTTGAGTATGGGGGTAATTGCCCTTAAAGTTTAGGAATTTGGGGCCAAAAAACGAGCATTTTTCTAGTTTCCAGACAATAACTTGTGTTCAAGTGTATGGATCTCTCTGAAATTGTACTGCAAGGTACCATACCACAAAGAAAAGGCTGGGATTGAGTTTGGGGGTGATGAATCATAAGGAGGTTCAAAAAATTTGGGGGGGGGGGGGTTTCATTTTTTTCTTTAAAATTTTCCATTTTAAATTGGTTATTTCTGATTTATATATAAAAGCAAATAATAATGATATGGTTTGAATAGGTAAATTAAAAAATTTTAAGTTCTTAGACCACATTCATTCTGTGTCAGAAACCTATGCTGTGTCAAATATTTAATTACAATCCAAATTCAGTGCTGTATCAAGCTTGAATGCTCTGTCCATACTTGCCCCAACTGTTCAGGGTTCGACCTCTGCGGTCGTATCAAGCT